TCCCTCATGAAGCATCAAAGAATTCATACAGGGGACTGTATGCAGTGTTGAAAGAGTTTCAGTTGCAAAGACTCCCTTAGGTAAAGATAAAGGGACCCCTTACTGTTAAGTCCAGTTGCGAACGTCTCTGGGGTTGCAGCGCTCATCTTGCTTTACAGGCCGAGGGAGCTGGCGTTTGTCCACAGACAGCTTTCTGGGTCATGTGGCCAGCATGACTAAACTGCTCATGGCACACGGAAGACCGTGACGAGTGCCAGAGTGCACGGAAACGCCGTTTTCCTTCCCGCTGGAGTGGTACCTATTTATCTACTTGCACTGACGTGCTTTCGAACTGTTAGGTTGGCAGGAGCTGGGACCGAGCAACGGGAGCCCACCCCGTTGCAGGGATTCGAACCGCCGACATTCAGATCAGCAAGCCCAAGAGGCTCAGTGGTTTAGACCACAGCGCTACCTGCGTCCCTCAAAAAGACTCCCTTACTTTGCATCAAAGAACTCACACCGGAGAAAAACCTTATAAATGTTTGGAATGTGGAAAGAGCTTCATTCAGAGTTGTCCCCTCACTAGCCATAAGATAATTCAAACAATGGATAGCCCTTACAAATGTTTGCAGTGTGACAAGAGCTTCAGTTGGCAGCGGGAGGCCCCATTAGCGAAAGCGCACCTCAGGTTAAGAACGGTTTCAGGTTGACTCAGGAACATTCTACCATATGTGGTGAACATGTAGGAAAATACAGGTATTCTGGGAGAGTATACATGCATCATTTGCATATTCTGTTGCTTATTTTTCCACATTTAGTGTGTAATGTGCTGCTGATTTCTGCTTGATCCCCTTTCACTCATATCTTTCATAGGTTAAAAGGCATTTCCTCGTCTTCTGTTGATTTATTTAAAATAAATCTCTCCAAACATGTGTTAGCCTCTCAGGTCCTGTTTGTTCACCACACTCTTGCCCATTTGGGCAAATTAGGGACTTCATTTTCAATGTTTTCATGAATTCTTGGCCACCATGGTAGGGGAAAGGTAATCAGAGAAAGATGTTGGGGATTGCTGGGATTGGTCCTTCCTAGTAACAGGGGGACCTGAATCTGCCGCCTCTGAGGAAGGGGGTTTTGCTCATGAAACCTTGAACATGACCTCAGAAGAGCCTAGCTGGTGGATCAGGCCCTTAAGCCACCTAGTCCAGCACCCTATTCCCCCAGTGACCAAGCAGATGCCTCTGGGAACTTTGCAACCAGCAGCGAGTACAACATGCCTCTTTAGGTGATTCCCAGGAACTGGCAATGAGGAATATACTGCCCAAAAGAAGTGGAAGCAGTGCACAGCCACAATGGCTAGTGGTCAGTTGTAAAAGCACGCAAACGTAATAGGCCGCATGGCAACAATCACAAGTTATTTACTAGAAACTACTTATCAAAAATTAGATGCCGCTTCTCATAATGTCAAAATCAACATTGTGACATAATATAATAAAACGTAACTTTTCAGTTGACCGCCAAGTCCTGTATGTTCAAAATACAAGTCCTATATTGTCAGTGCCGTAGTGCATTCTTTCTTAATTTCTTCATCTCTCGTATTTTTCTGTCTGACGTATTCCTTAGAAGAGCGGCATGAAATAGTCTTCTAAGTGTCCAATAAAGATGATTGGGTTGGCAGACAAAAGAAACTGGCACTGATGTGTGCTGGCACGTGCTACGAATTTGCCTAGATCTCTCTTAAAGGTAAAGGTACCCCTGCCCGTACGGACCAGTCGTGTCTGACTCTAGGGTTGTGCGCTCATCTCACTTAAGAGGCCGGGAGCCAGCGCTGTCCGGAGACACTTCCGGGTCACGTGGCCAGCGTGAAGAAGCTGCTCTGGCGAGCCAGCACCAGCACAGCACACGGAAACGCCATTTACCTTCCCGCTATTTATCTACTTGCACTTTAAGGGTGCTTTCGAACTGCTAGGTGGGCAGGAGCTGGGACCGAGCAACGGGAGCTCACCCCGCTGCGGGGATTCGAACTGCCGACCATGCGATCGGCAAGTCCTAGGCGCTGAGGATTTACCCACAGCGCCACCCGCGTCCCTCAATTCTCTCTTAATTGGTGGCTATTACTGCATTTTGCCTTAGTGAATTGCAGAGTTTAACAGTGAAGAAGTGCTTCCTTTAGTTTGTCCTTAATCTGCACGCAATAAGCTTCATTGAATGTCCTGGGACTACAGTATCTTAGAGGAAGAAACACCTCCCTCTCCTATTTCTAAACACCATGCATACCTTTATACATCTCTAATATATTTCCCCATAATCACCTTTATTCCAGCTAGTAATTCCTCATATTTTTCTAACACCTTAATTGTTTTGTTTGTTCTTTTCTCAACGTTTTCTGAATCTGCAATATTATTTTTGAGGTCCTGTAACCGGATCCGTACAGTTTTATAAGGGCAGCTGCACCATAGATTTGTATATCAGCACTATGATATTGGCAGCTTAGTTTTGAATCTTTCCCTAAAACGGCATTGACCCATTTCACTACTTTCACACCCTGTGCCAATATCTTTACTGAGCTATCAGCTATGACCCCAAATGTCACTTTCCTTCTCAGTCATCACCAATTCAGATCTCATTTGCAGATGTGTTAAGTTAGGATGTTTTTTGCTTGAAGGTGCACTATATAAATTTGCTTACATACATTTGGTTATGTCATTGTCTTTAATAATGTTTTCCACCAGTTTCCCCAAAACAAACATGAAACTAACTAACGTGCAGTTTCCTGGAAACTAAATCCCTTACATTGGCTTTCCTGTTGGAGGAAAAGAAACTGGGCAGTCTCACAGACAAGTTACATATTTTTGTTAGAATACCTGACTTAGAATTCTTAAACTAATGGGTAAATTCCATTGGCTTTGGGTGATTTCTGAACACTTAAGATCTCCAGTTGCCCATTTTTCCACTCCTTACTCTGGATGAACTACAAATAAGGGAATTGCTTTCCTTTTCCAGGGATCAATGAGCTTTGAGGGGGTGTCCTTGCATTTCACCGATGACGAATGCTCCCTGCTGGATCCAGGCCAGAGAGTGCTGTACAAGGAAGTCATGATGGATATTTATGAAATGGTGGCTTCTGTGGATACGGATCCTTTCCCCCTTGATCAATAGCTAGCAAAGGTGTGAACTCCTGTTGGTGTAATATCAATTAGACAGGGTGTTCCTAATTTCCCCATGACAAAGAATGTATGAAGAGCCCTGTTGGGTCAAAGCAAAATCCTATGTTGTCCAGCATTCAGATGCACACAGACACACTTGTGAAATGTTATTTTACAGACATCAAAGAATAGACACATTGGTTAAGAGTGACTTACCTTGATTCTCATTTTTCTGGCCAATGAGGTCTCTAGTTCTGATTGGGTGGGGGGTGAACTTGCTTTCTCGATAGGATTGTTCTTACAACTGCAAGGCGTGGAAATAAAGGCTGAAGGGGTCTCATGTGTGCTGGTTGCAATTTACTGCTTTTAGGTTAGTCATAGACTGTTTAATCACATAGTTTGCTTAGCAGCATACAGGAGTCTGCTAACCCAGAAATAGTGCTTTAGGTTAAGAACTTTGCTTCAGGATAAGAACAGAAATCGGGCTCCGGCAGCGCAGCAGCAGCAGGAGGCCCCATTAGCTAAAGTGGTGCTTCAGGTTAAGAACGGACCTCCGGAACGAATTAAGTACTTAACCTGAGGTACCACTGTATTCAGAAGGGAGTTGCTGCCAAGGACACTATGTGCTTTTTAATGAACTGAATAGAATGAAAGAACCTGCAGCACAAACATAAGGGACAACTGATTTTCTAGCAGTTAACGCAAAAAGGATCCAGGAGTCTTAGTAGACCACAAGCTTAACATGAGTCAACCGTGTGATGCAGCAGGAGCGAAAAAATAAAATTCTATTCTGGGCTGCATCAACAGAATTAGTGTCAAGGAAAGTAATAGTACCACTCTATTTTGCCTTGGTCAGACCACACCTGAAATACTGTGTCCAATTCTGGGCACCACAATTTAAGGATTTTGACAAGCTCGAAAGCCTTAGGAAGAGCACTTGAAGGAGCTGGGCATGTTTAGCCTGAGGAGGAGACTGAGAGGAGATATGGTAGCCATCTTCAAATATTTTAAAAGGCTATCACATGGAAGAGGATACAAGCTTGTTTTCTCCTGCTCAGAAGGGTAGGACGTGAACCAATGGCTTCAAGTTACAAGAAAGGGGATGCCGACTAAATGTGAGGAAGAACTTTCTGACAGTAAGAGCTGTTGGACATTGGAACGGTTTCCTTTAGCGGAGATTCCTGCATTGCAGGCGGTTGGACTAGATGACCCCTGGGTCCAATCCAACTCTGCAATTCTATAATTCTGATTCTAATGCTCCTTCCTTTCTAATTGCTTGTTTTATTATATATTTTAAGTAAGGATGTTTTAAGGATGTTGAGATCAAATTGTTATTGTGCATTTTAACGTATATGTGTGCATTTTATATAGGTGCAAGCCTCCTAAACAGGACACTATTGATTTACTTTGAGACAATGTAACTTGCTCATCAGCAAAATAGGCTCCCGGAATGAGGAGAAAGGGGAAAAGCCAAGTTACCTGTTCAAAACTGGTTCTTCTTTCAGTGACCAGCTGTCACAGATCAGTGGAGGGAGGTGAAGACCTGGTTACTTCTTTTATGATTACAGTATTTGGTTTATTTTAAAATAGTTATTCATATACATATATTCTCACTATATGAGAGTTTAATGCCTCTTTAATCTGTTCAGTGGTAAAGATTATCTTTTCTACGATCTCCTACTCTCAATTTGGAGAAAAGGTGGGGCATTAATAATGATGATGATGATGATGATGATACGAAGGCTGCCCATTATTAATATAATAATAATAATGATACTCCGGCTCTCAGTGGTCACTGGATCCTGCATGGGGCACCTGCTGGAGGAGAGGATACTGCCCTCGGGGCCTGATTCTGCAGAGCTTTCTACACAAAATCGGGACTCCTCTCCTCGCTATTCGCCCGGAGCAGCCAAGAGGTTCCTCCCGCTCGGCTCCAAAAGGGTTAATCCGAAACTACAGAGCCAAGATTCCTAGAGCGGAAGGGGGGGGGGTTCCTGCGCGAGAGGAGGAGGTTCCGCTTCCTGTTCCTCTCCTTCCTTCCTGTGGGACGCAGCTGCCTGACGTGGAGGGGCCTCTCCCTTCCTCTTCTCCCTTGCGGAGGAGCTTCTCCCGTTCTTTCTCCGCCGGGGGGGGGCTGCCTCTCCTGCCGCCTCCAGGTCAGATGCGGGGAAGGAGAGACGGAGGAAGGAGGAGGAGGAGGAGGAATGTATGTATGGTGTTTTGGGGGCTGGTCTTGGGCAAGGGGGGGGGCGATTTCAAAGGTCCTTATAGGGGCTTCGGGGTTCTCCTCCCTCCTGCGTGTGGTGAGTGGAGACCATGTTGCCACACTTTATTTCCCTTAATAAAGATCAGGCTTTCCAGCCGCTTTACTATCAATATATTCTGCTTGGGCTCTGCTTCCTCCGACCGATAGAGATGCCCTGAGAGAGATCTCTTACACGGGCTCTAGATACCCCAGAAGGGTATTAGACATAGTTGTCAACGATTCCCTTTTTTTAAGGGAAATTCCCTTATCCCGAATAGGATTCCTCGCAAAAAAAGGAAAAGTTGACAGCTATGGTATTAGAAGTATTATATGACAACGCCTTGCCTTGGAGTGCTTACAAAGAAGGGAATGGTTTTCTTCTTCCAGGGATTGGTGAGCTTCGACGAGGTGTCTGTGCATTTCACCAACGAGGAATGGGCCTTGCTGGATCCGGGCCAGAGAGCTCTGTACGAGGAAGTCATGGAGGAGATTCGTGAGATGGTGACATCTGTGGGTACGGATCTGTTTCTCCTTGATCCATAGCTAGCAAAGGTGTGAATTATTGTTGGTGTACCATCAATGAGATCACTAGAAAGCACTTTGTAATTTCTCCCGGACAAAGGAACATTCGAAGACCCCTGTTGGTTCAAAGCAAAGGCCCACGTAGTCCAGGATTCAGTTCTCACGCTTGCCAACCAGATGCCTATAGGAAGCCATCAAAGAATGAACCCATTGGCTATGAGTTACCTGCATTGATTTCCCTTTTTTTTCTGGCCAGGGAGGTCTCTTGTTGGATTGGGTGAGGGGTGAACAACTGCATGTCACGGAAACAGAAGGCTGAAGAGGTCTGCTGTGTGCTGGTTGCGATTTATTGCATTGGGGGAGAGTCCTAGTCTGCCTAGCTGCATAGCTTGCAAAGCAGTGTACAGGGCAGAATGGATGGAGTGGCATGGATATGAACCTCCGCTCTGTCCCCAACGACTCACAGGGAGAATCGGAGGACCCAGCTGATTTGGGAACTGAGCCTACACAGGAGGGTTGTGCATGAGAGGGGGAGGTCCTCAGGCCTGTTGGGGAAATGTCACCCAACACCCAACTTACTGTTCTGGCTCCCAAACATGTTCTAAGACCCTTGTCCAGTAAATGTGCACCTGTTATCCTGCAGCATGATTATTTCTGGATTCTGCTTGTGGAAGGGAGAGGAAAGATTCGTGGTGGGTATCTTATTCTGCCACCTGAGTAGAATGCTCACAAGGACATCTTTTCCCCCATAAGACAGGTGTAGGGACGCCTGGCCCCCTCCCAGAAGTTGCTGAATCCCAACATCCTCTCTGTTGACTGTCCATGTTTGCTGGAGCTGATGGGACTTTTTTCGCAGCATTTGGAGAGCCAAAGGTTCCCAATTCCTCCCTGAAGGACTTTCAACTTTTAAAACACCAACACTCTTTATCTTGTTTCTCTACATCAGTGTTTCCCAACAGGGGCCCCAGGATTTTCCAACGGGGTCCCAGGTGAAAATTATATAAATTGGGGGGCTGTACAGCTTGAGGCTTAGGGAGCGACAGAGGGAAGTGAGAAGAAAATAGAAAAAACCATTAATCATTCTGTTTTGGTCTGAAAATCCTGATTGGCTGGCTATCTGCTCGGCCATTCACAAGCAGGTAAGGGGGTGGCCCACCGGGGCAGCGTAGCGCTGCTGCTTCTGTTTTCCTTTGTGCATTTTCTTAGAGCAGTCCTGGTTTGTTTCCAGCTGGAGATGGCCATCTCTGAGGCTCTGGTTTTGACCACTGCTTGTAGCTGCCACCAGTGCTTGGCCAGGTGGCGGCCTGGGCCTGATTCTGAAAGACGCGGGTGCAATTGACACCAGCGCCTAGGAGGTCGGGGCACAGGGCCTGTCGGCAGTGTCTGCCTAGCCGAGTGGATTTGTCTGGTGCCTCTGACTTGCATCTAGAAAATTGCTAAGTGTCTACTTTGAACAAATCAGTACTGAATTCAGTTGGCCTTAATTCAGTGGGCCATTTCAGTAGCTACCTTTCTACCGGTAGGAAGGGGTTGGGGGCCACAGGAAGGAAATGAGGTCGAAAAGGGGCCACGGTTGGAAAAAGATGGGGGAACTCTGCTCTGCATCATGTTTCTAAATTTAAGAAAGGGAAGGGCAGGCTGCCCTTTAGATGAGGAGGATTTTCTGTGGATGATGCAAAAGAGAGATGCAAGCAGCTTCAAATCAGCATTAAAAGTCCTGTGTGGATGAGGCCTTAAACCAGGGGTCGGCAAACTTACTGAGCCTGGGCCGGTTCACTCCCCCGGAGATCTCAGCAAGCGCCGGATTGTGAGAACACACACCCGCAGACACTATTTCTGGCGTGGAGAAGGCGCCTCCAGCTTCCTATTGGTTGCAGGAGTTTGCTGCATCCAATAGAAAGCCCCGCCAGTGCCGCGGAAGTGAATCGCCGCGATGCGCTGGTTTAGCGCAGCGTGCAGAGACTTGCAGAGCACATGGCAGGGTTCGGGGGTGGCTTGGGGGCCGCTTAAATGACCCCCCTGGCCAGATGTGGCCCAGGAGCTGTAGATTGCCGACCCCTACCTTATACAGACACATCATTTTACCACTTTTCCTTTTTAATCCATTAGGAGATGTTTCAGAGTTCCTGACTGAAGGAGAACAATCAGAACCATCACGTGAAGGAGCTGAGGAGCAGAAGGAGCAACGGAAACAGCGGGTTCAAGTTGGAACCTACAGAAAGGAGGGGACCCAAATGCAGAAGGTGGGGAGGGAATCCACTGCTTCTCAGGTTAATGAAAATCAGATTTGCAGAGGGAAGCATGAATGTACTGTGTGTGGAAAGAGATTTCCTTATCGCTCAATGCTTGCTTCACATCAAAGAGTGCACTCGGATGAAAAACCATATAAATGCTTGGAGTGTGGAAAGAGTTTTAGTCAGAGTGGTAGCTTTACTTCACATCAAAGAACTCATACAGGGGGAAAACCTCACAAATGCTGGGAGTGTGGAAAGAGTTTTAGTAATAGTGGCTCCCTTACTTCGCATCAAAGGACTCATACAGGGGAGAAACCTCATAAATGCTTTGAGTGTGGAAAGAGCTTCAATCAGATTAGCTCCCTTAGTAGGCATCACGCAATCCACACAGGGGACAAACCGTATGAATGCTTGAAGTGTGGAAAGTGTTTCCGTCAGAGGAGCAGCCTCACTAGACATGAAAGAACTTATACAGGGGACAAATTGTGTGAATGCTTGATGTGTGGAAAGAGGTTCCATCATGGGAGCATCCTCACTAGACATAAAAGAACTCACGCAGGTGAAAAACCATACCAATGTTTGGACTGTGGGAAGGGCTTCAGGCACAAAGGCACCCTCACAAAGCATCAAAGAATTCATACAGGGGACAAACCTTATGAGTGCTTGGAGTGTGGAAAGAGCTTCACTCGCAAAGACTCCCTTACTTTGCATCAGAGAAGTCACACAGGAGAAAAGCCTTATAAATGCTGGGAGTGTGACAAGAGCTTCCGTGACAGTGGTGCCCTTACTCTGCATCGAAGAACTCATACAGGGGAAAAGCCTTATAAATGCTGGGAGTGTGGCAAGAGCTTCCGTGAGAGTGGTGCCCTTACTCGGCATCGAAGAACTCATACAGGGGAAAAGCCTTATACATGTTTTGAATGTGGAAAGAGCTTCAGTCAGAGTTGTCACCTTACTGATCATCAAAGAACTCATACGGAGGAGAAACCTCATTAATGCTTTGAAAGATGCTACAACAGCAGCAAGAATACTTATTGCAAAGTATTGGAAGACACAAGATTTACCCACCCGGGAAGAATGGCAGATGAAGCTGATGGACTACATGGAACTGGCGGAAATGACTGGCAGAATCCGATACCAGGGAGAAGAGTCGGTGGAAGAAGATTGGAAAAAATTTAAAGACTGTTTACAGAAACACTGTAAAATTAATGAATGTTAGAAGGATGCTGGGATGAAGTTATATGGCTTTAGCAGAAATGTTATAAAGAATTAAGTAAAAATAGACTGTTAATGGGCTAAAGGGGGAAAAATAAGGTTAGATTGTGTTAAGATAAATTATGGGACAAAAACTGAGAAAGATGGAAAGGATTTGCTGAAATAGCTAACTGAACTAGAATACAAAAAGAGTGGTGTGAGGAGATCTTCGAAACAAGTAAATGAAAGATAAGATATGGAAATATTGGATGCGTTTTTAATTGTTTCTGTTTTTGTTTTGTTAAGATAAGTAGTGTTTTCTGTTTTATATGTATTGTATTGTATTTTTTGCTTTGTTTAACTTTTTTTTCTTCTTTCTGTGATTTCTAAACTCTTAAGAAACATTATTTTTAAAAAAATGCTTTGAAAGAGCTTCAGAGACATTAGCTCCCTTAATATGCATCATACAACCCACACAGGGGACAAGCCATATTACAGATGTTTGGAGGGTGGGGAGAGCTTCCGATATAGTGACTCCCTCATGAAGCATCAAAGAATTCATACAGGGGACTGTATGCAGTGTTGAAAGAGTTTCAGTTGCAAAGACTCCCTTAGGTAAAGATAAAGGGACCCCTTACTGTTAAGTCCAGTTGCGAACGTCTCTGGGGTTGCAGCGCTCATCTTGCTTTACAGGCCGAGGGAGCTGGCGTTTGTCCACAGACAGCTTTCTGGGTCATGTGGCCAGCATGACTAAACTGCTCCTGGCGCACGGAGGACCGTGACGAGTGCCAGAGCGCACGGAAACACCGTTTTCCTTCCTGCAGGAGTGGTACCTATTTACCGTAATTTTCGCTCCAAAACACGCACTTTTTTGCTCCTAGAAAGTAAGGGAAAATGCCTGTGCGTGTTACGGAGCGAATGCACTCGACCGGAGCCATGGCTGCTGTCAGTCAAGCAAAGCGGGAGCCGCTTGCAGGGCTTTGCACGACTCTAGCTTTGCTTGCTTTACAGCCAGGAGGAGGGGGAGGAGCCAAGGAGGAGGGAGGGAAGGAGAGCCATGGCAGCAAAGCGGGCAGCAGCCGCTTACACGGGAGGAAGGACAGACGGGAGCCATAGCGAGCCGGAAAAAGCGCCGCGTAGCCAGCAACAGCTGCTGCAGCCTCAGCTAGCAAAGGTCCGTGCGCTCTCTAAACGGAGCAATGAGGCTGCAGAGGGACGGCAGGGCACAGGAGGGCTCTGAGCCACGAGTGCAGTGAAAACCAGTAAAAAAGTTTTTAAAAAGGCTGCTGGGGACAGGAGGGCACGGGATGAGGGAGAGGGGGAAATAACGATTCTCCCAGTGTCTCAGCTGATCCGCTGAGCAGGACTTGGGCCATTAGCTGTGTAAACATTATTAGCAGCATCCTTCTCCACACACCCCACGCGTGTTCCTTCTTCCCTTAAACCCCTCTTCTGCATTATTAGCCGCATCCTTCTCCACACACCCCACGTGTGTTCCTTGTCCCTTGAATGCTTTTCCTTCCCTCCCCACTTAAAACATGGTTACAAAGCACGGATCCACATGGATCCTCAGGATTTTTGCACTGGGTCACCCCAAGTTCACCATCAGATCACATAGTATATCCATGGCTATAGCCTGCACCAAAAAACACACACGCACCCACTGTTTCATGGGGCTGCAATGGCGCAAAAATGTGGTTACAAAGCATGGATCCACATGGATCCTCAGGATTTTTGCATTGGGCTACCCCAAACTCACCGTCAGATCACGTCTGTGGCCACAGCATGAACCACAAAAATCATACATCCACTGTTTCGTTTAGAGTATTTTTTCTTGTTTTCCTCCTCTAAAAACTACGTGCATGTTATGGTCAGGTGCGTGTTATAGAGCGAAAACTACGGTATCTACTTGCACTGACGTGCTTTTGAACTGTTAGGTTGGCAGAAGCTGGGACCGAGCAACGGGAGCCCACCCCTTTGCAGGGATTCGAACCGCCGACCTTCAGATCAGCAAGTCCAAGAGGCTCAGTGGTTTAGACCACAGCGCTACCTGCGTCCCTCAAAAAGACTCCCTTACTTTGCATCAAAGAACTCACAAAGGAGAAAAACCTTATAAATGTTTGGAATGTGGAAAGAGCTTCATTCAGAGTTGTCACCTCACTAGCCATAAGATAATTCATACAATGGATAGCCCTTACAAATGTTTGTAGTGTGACAGTTGGCAGCGGGAGGCCCCATTAGCGAAAGCGCACCTCAGGTTAAGAACGGACCTCCGGAACGAATTAAGTTTGTAACCTGAGGTGCCACTGTAATTACTCCCTTCCCACACCTCCCTGTTCTTCACGCCACTCTCTTGCCTGCTGTGAAAAGTGCTGTGGAGATTTTGTGGCTGGAAAGAGAATGAAAGAACCTGCAGCACAAATAGAAGATAAGGGACAACTGATTTTCTAGCAGTGCATGTGAAAAGGATCCAGGAGTCTTAGTAGACCACAAGCTTAACATGAGTCAACCGTGTGATGCAGTAGGAGCAGGAAAAAAAATTCTATTCTGGGCTGCATCAACCAGATTGGTGTCAAGGGAAGTAATAGTACCACTCTATTCTGCCTTGGTCAGACCACACCTGAAATACTGTGTCCAATTCTGGGCACCACAATTTAAGGATTTTGACAAGCTCGAAAGCCTTAGGAAGAACACTTGAAGAAGCTGGGCATGTTTAGCCTTAGGAGGAGACTGAGAGGAGATATGATAGCCATCTTCAAATATTTTAAAAGGCTATCACATGGAAGAGGATACAAGCTTGTTTTCCCCTGCTCAGAAGGGTAGGACGTGAACCAATGGCTTCAAGTTACAAGAAAGGGGATACCGACTAAATGTGAGGAAGAACTTTCTGACAGTAAGAGTTGTTGGACATTGGAACGGTCTCCTTTAACGGGGATTCCTGCATTGCAGGGGGTTGGACTAGATGACCCCTGGACACAATCCAACTCTGCAATTCTATAATTCTAATTCTAATGCTCCTTCCTTTCTAATTGCTTATTATATATTTTAAGTAAGGATGTTTTAAGGATGTTGAGATCAAATTGTTATTGTGCATTTTAACGCACATGTGTGCATTTTATATAGGTGCAAGCCTCCTAAACACGACACTGTTGATCTACTTTGAGACATTGTATGGTAACTTGCTCGTCAGCAAAATAGGCTCCCAGAATGAGGAGAAAGGGGAAAAGCCAAGTTACCTGTTCAAAACTGGTTCTTCTTACAGTGACAAGCTGTCACAGATCAGTGGAGGGAGGTGAAGACCTGGTTACTTCTTTTATGATTACAGTATTTGGTTTATTTTAAAATAGTTATTCATATACATATATTCTCACTATATGAGAGTTTAATGCCTCTTTAATCTGTTCAGTGGTAAAGATTATCTTTTCTACGATCTCCTACTCTCAATTTGGAGAAAAGGTGGGGCATTAATAATGATGATGATGATACGAAGGCTGCCCATTTTATTAATATAATAATAATAATAATACTACTCCGGCTCTCAGTGGTCACTGGATCCTGCATGGGGCACCTGCTGGAGGAGAGGATACTGCCCTCGGGGCCTGATTCTGCAGAGCTTTCTGGAAAAAATCGGGACTCCTCTGCTCGCTCTCCGCCAGGAGCAGCCAAGAGATTCCTCCCGCTCGGCTCTGCAAGGGTTAAGACGAAACCACAGAGCCAAGATTCCTAGAGCGGAAGGGGGGGTTCCTGCGCGAGAGGAGGAGGTTCCGCTTCCTGTTCCTCTCCTTCCTTCCTGTGGGACGCAGCTGCCTGACGTGGAGGGGCCTCTCCCTTCCTCTTCTCCCTTGCGGAGGAGCTTCTCCCGTTCTTTCTCCGCCGGGGGGGGGCTGCCTCTCCTGCCGCCTCCAGGTCAGATGCGGGGAAGGAGAGACGGAGGAAGGAGGAGGAGGAGGAGGAATGTATGTATGGTGTTTTGGGGGCTGGTCTTGGGCAAGAGGGGGGGGGGCGATTTCAAAGGTCCTTATAGGGGCTTCTGGGTTCTCCTCCCTCCTGCGTGTGGTGAGTGGAGACCATGTTGCCACACTTTATTTCCTTTAATAAAGATCAGGCTTTCCAGCCGCTTTACTATCAATATATTCTGCTTGGGCTCTGCTTCCTCCGACCGATAGAGATGCCCTGAGAGAGATCTCTTAACACGGGCTCTAGATACCCCAGAAGGGTATTAGACATAGTTGTCAACGATTCCCTTTTTTTAAGGGAAATTCCCTTAATCCGAATAGGATTCCTCGCAAAAAAAGGAAAAGTTGACAGCTATGGTGTTAGAAGTATTATATGACAACGCCTTGCCTTGGAGTGCTTACAAAGAAGGGAATGGTTTTCTTCTTCCAGGGCTTGGTGAGCTTCGATGAGGTGTCTGTGCATTTCACCAACGAGGAATGGGCCTTGCTGGATCCGGGCCAGAGAGCTCTGTACGAGGAAGTCATGGAGGAGATTCGTGAGATGATGACATCTGTGGGTACGGATCTGTTTCTCCTTGATCCATAGCTAGCAAAGGTGTGAATTATTGTTGGTGTACCATCAGTGAGATCACTAGAAAGCACTTTGTAATTTCTCCTGGACAAAGGAACATTCGAAGACCCCTGTAGGTTCAAAGCAAAGGCCCACGTAGTCCAGGATTCAGTTCTCACGCTTGCCAACCAGATGCCTATAGGAAGCCATCAAAGAATGGAGCCATTGGCTATGAGTTACCTGCATTGATTTCCCTTTTTTTTCTGGCCAGGGAGGTCTCTTGTTGGATTGGGTGAGGGGTGAACAACTGCATGTCACGGAAACAGAAGGCTGAAGAGGTCTGCTGTGTGCTGGTTGCGATTTATTGCATTGGGGGAGAGTCCTAGTCTGCCTGGCTGCAT